CTGACAAAACAATCGACCACGATTGTTGTACAATAAATTGTTAATTCTATGTGTCCAAAAACTCATAATCTACATATTCATTACTTAACGGTTCTATTTCTAATTCTAAAGTGTTGCCTTCTGTGTCCGTTTCATTAAACTCTGACTCTGGTTCCAACCACATCTTAATTCTACTTGAATCTATAACACTGTTATATGGCATCTGTGTTACTTGACAATTTTCAACATCTGTTACAACGTATCTATCATTATCTAAACGCTTACGGATTACGTATGGGCCCTTAAATTTCTTAATTAATTTTTTATTCTTGCCAACAGTGGTATCCACATTCTTAATTACAACTAAATCTCCCGGATTAAACTCTTTCGCTGGTTTATGGTGCTTTTCAAAATACTTTTGGTTATACCAGTGTGTCCATAACATATAGAAATAGCACTAAATAGTGTCGATATCTATACTATATTGGTCCACTATATATGTAAGATATTCCGCAAGACACCGTAGCTCACGATAGAAGTGAGTGCGGACGGCAAACATGTTGACGCATACACACAGTTCTTTCTACTGCCGCATGGCAATTTGTGATTTTTTCCGTCTACACTGGCTTCGATCGTGCGATACGGTGCCGTGCGGCAATATCTTTCATATATAGTGGACCGATATAGTATAGATATCGACACTATTTAGTGATATTTCTATATATTATGGACACACTGGGTTATACGACTGAGACTTCTGAATTGCGACCTCTGCTTTTGCTCTTATATCATCTAAACTCTTTTGCTCTTTGGCATAAACTTCATGCAAATACTCTGTTAGTTCATCAACCACTTCACCACGCTGTTCAATACCGAACAACATTCGACTTGGCGTCTGTTTTGTAGTACAATGCACAGTGTTATTCACAGCAAACTCAACATCTGACAATTTCCTTTTCCAATCAGTATGACTTATGGGGTCGGTTATTTTAGCCAACACTGCTTTCATAACACGGTTAACTCTTTCCACCTGACCATTGGACTGCGGTGAAGCAACTGCATTCTTGATATGTATTATGTTTCTTTCTTGCAAAAACTCCTCAAACTCCTTTGACTTAAGACCCGTTCCACGATCATTAATAATTCTCTTTGGACGACTGTATTCTGCAAAATATTTACGTAGTGCACAAATTGTTTCTTTTGTACCAGTGTTGACAGCATATAGTTTGGTAAACTTAGTGAAAGCGTCGATCACCACCAACACATGCTTATGTTTCGTATTTACCGTTTCCAATGGACCAAAATGATCAATATGCAATGTATCGAATGGCTCTGGCTTCTTTGGTATACTGTACATATTACGTTCGTTTTTTCGCGCAGGAGTTGAATAGTAGATACACTTCAAACAGTTTCTGATAAATTTGTTCACCTTTTCACGCATATGTGGGAACCAATAGTGTTTCTGTATTTGATTCGTGCATTTGTCAATACCCAAATGGCCATAATTCTCATGTATCAATCTAATTATGCTCGTTTCCATTTCATGTGGCACATACAACTGTTGATTTTCACCGCTGGCACGAAAGACCAATCCGTTTTCAAGTTCATATCCCGACACCTCTTCTGTTTCTAACTTCTGTCTTAGCTGCTGGATTTTTTCATCACGCGTCTGTGCTATTTGTATATTCAAATCAACTTCGCCCTCCACAATACTGCATACATTCAGACCCACACGACTTAATGCATCAACATGTGCCATCTGATGACCCGGCCGATGACGTACTGTAAAGTTATAATTCGCCAGTCCCAATGTCCAACGTGCAATGCGAGGATTAATTAATTTCTTTTCCAATGCCATAACCAATGAATTACAATCAGTCACTATAACAAATTGCATGCCGTCCAAAAATGTTCTAAATCTTTCCAGTGCATTAACAATGGCCAATGTCTCCAATTCAAAACTGTGGTAACGTGATTCCGCTTCTGTTGTAGTTTTCGAAAAATATGCAACTGGGTGAAATTGTTTATCATCTTGCTTCTGTAATAATGCTCCTCCATATCCACGTGAGCTGGCATCTGTATGTAACTCTGTCTCTCGTTTCGGATCAAATATTGCCAATACAGGTGCCTCTGTTAATTTCTTTTTCAATATTAAAAATGCCTCCATGCATTCATCTGTCCACTCAAATTTTGCGTCTTTTTTAATCAGCTGATTCAATGGTCGGGCAATTCTCGAAAAATCATAAACAAATCGTCTAAAATATGAAAACAATCCAACACATCGCTGTGTTTCTTTTGCATCTGTAGGCACCTTATAATTTCTGATCGCGTTTAAATGTGCTTCATTAGGGCGAATACCATGCTCATTTACAACATAACCCAAATACTCTATCTCGTCGTAGGCAAACTTGCACTTTTTTAGATTCAACTTTAATCCAGCCTCTGCTAACAATGTCAATACGCTTGTCAATATCTCCATGTGCTCCTCAATCGTTTTCGTAGCTATATTTATATCATCCAAATACACGACAATTTTTCCCGCATCAATCAACTCTCTCAAAACCAGACTAATAAATCGCTGAAATACTGGTGGTGCATTCGTCAAGCCAAACGGCATGTAAACATATTCGTACTGACCCATCGGAGTCACAAATGCTGTTAGTTCAATGGAATCTGGATGCATCGGCACTTGATGGAAGCCATTTTTCAAATCCAAAGCACTAAAATACTTCTTACCACCGCCCAAGTATTCCAAACAGTCCTCGATCAACGGCAACGGAAAATGATCCCTTACTGTAAGTTTATTCAATGCACGGTAATCAACACACATTCTCAATTCACCATTCTTCTTTCTGACCAACACAATTGGCGATGCATAAGGCGAGCTACTTGGTCTAATAATACCTTGTTCCAATAAATCATCAATTGCCTTCTGTACTTCGATCTTTTCTTTGTATGACAAACGACGCGGGTTACTGTATACTGGTTCATCATTCTTCAGTTTAATTTGCATAGAATAACTACTGAACTTATGGTTCACATCTTTTGTTTTCACGTGGTTTCGATAAATGGTTGATTTCAGAGCATCTGCATGTTTCTTATCCAATTTCTTGTTAATATCAATTAATTTATCAAACTCATCTGTCTCAGTCGCACTTACCAATAAAATTACTTCATCATAATCAACCAATTCTTCTGTTTCATTTAAATTAATTACACCGACACATTTATCAAATCGAGTTTCACAACTGTTCAAGTCATCAACAATGTTTACCTCTGGTTCAATCCGTTTACCTACACTAGATCTCTTTCCAATCTGCTTAACAACTGCCTCTGTATTCTTAAAACTATCTGTGGTTGGTACCTCTGTAACGCTATCATTCGGACTCTTAAACAAATTAAACAACTTAAGTGCACTGGTACTTTTGGGCATTTTATTCTTCATATTACTTCTGATTTTAATTAACTCGCATGCTGTATATTTGTACGATTTTATTTGGCATAAATAGACCTCTAATTTTGTTAATAAATCACGGCCCACAAGTAAAGGTACCACGGCTTCATTATCTGGTAGAACGAAAAAATTATGTATTAACTCCTTGCCTCTGAACACAAATTTACACGCAATTTTGCCATACATACTTAGTTTTTTATTGCCCATCCCACGATACGGTGTACATTTTAATTTATTCATCGCAAATGGTACCATCGAACGTCTCACGAAACTAACGGGGCTACCCGAATCAAATAAAGCATTTTTCGAAATTAACTCAGTGCACTTATTTTGTTTATTCATAAAGGCAACACTTACCATTTGCATCGATGACAACTGCGTTGCTAAACGGCGTACTTCGTTCTCATCCTCTGCGATGTCCCAATTGTCTTGGTAATTTGTTTCTGGTGGCGGATTTCCAACCGTTGCGACCGCATTTGGTTCACTGGCTTCTGGCTTCTTCTTTTTCGGGCATTCATGACGTGTATGACCGACCTCATGGCATATGAAACACGAATTTGGTGGCCGCTTTGGAGCCGTGCACTTGCTCTGGTAATGCCCATAATTGAAACAATTGTAGCAACGAATTCCCGACAAATCAATTTCACCAACACTTTTCGTTGTACTACCGCTGGCACTTGCAATGGCACGTGTATTTGCACTGGCATCTGGCACGTATGGCTTCTGTTTCATTGTTGCAGCTGGCATGGCACTTGATCTTGGTTGCACTGAGGCACGGCGTAATTTTTCATAACGTTCCATCAACATTTTCAGTTCGGCCAATGTACGAGCACTGTACAAAATTGATGCGTGAACACTTTTATCGTTCAGGCC